AAAAAAAAAAGATCTTGAGCTTGCCAGGAAGGTGCTGTGCCCCTGGGTTATATCCCAGCTCTGTGGCTCTGCTCCTGAGAAGCTCTTGGGACTATGATGTGGTGAAGGGGCTGTGAGAGGGATAGCATCCTTCTACATAGAAGAGGGGAACTGATTCTCTAAACACCAGTTTTGTGGAAGCTTCCAGTGGAGGAATTCTGGAGCTGGGTCTCCAGTACAAAGGATGAACAGAGTTCTTCCAGGCAGGGATCACAGGAAAGGCGTTTTAGATGTTGGACTAGCACAGGCAAGACACAGGGCTGTGGGAAGGGGGAACAGGAAATACTCTGATGTGATCAGAGGACAGGAAACAAGGAGAGAAGAAATGAGGTTAATGGATAACTGGAGATACTCAAAGGAGAAAGCAAGAAAGCTCAGATACATTATGGAAACACAGAACTCTTCCCTTACTTGTGAGGGATAGTTTCACGATCAATTCAGGCAAATGCCTGAATTCACAGACAATGTATGTTTCCTCCTCTGTATTTTTTTTTAACACACCCTCGTGATAATTTATAGAGTAGGCACAGTAAGAGGTTAATCAGAACTAATAACAAAATAAGACAATAGTAATGGTAACACTGTAAAAAGAAGTTATGTGAAAGTAGCTGTCTCTTTGTATCAAAACAGCTTTTTACTATATTCACTTTTTTTTTTTAAAACAACTTTTTTTTTAATTTTTTATTTATTTGAGAGTGAGAGAGAGAGAGAGAGAGAGAGAGAGAGAGAGAAAGAGAGTGGTGTGTGTGTGTGGCCAGCTCAGCCCACCAGGGGGCAGGGCTGGCTGGCATGTGGTGCTGGGGGATTGAACCGCGGTCCCTGATGCCTTGCCAAGCTTGTTCCAAGTAGGTGCTTTAGACCACTGAGCCATCTCTCCAGCCCCTATATTCACTTTTTTCTCTTTTCTTTTCTTTCTTTTTCTTTTGGTAGTCTTTTTGAAACAGGATCTCACTAGGCAGTTCAGACTGGTCTTGAACTCATATTTGTAGCCCATGCTGGTCTAGAACTCACAATGATCCTCTTACCTCAGCCTACAGAAGTGCTGGGGGGATTACTGGTGTGAGACACCACCCTGGGTTGTATACATCCTTTTCTGAGATGATCTAAGGTGATACAGTTCTTTTATTTTTTTTTTGCAGAACCGGGATGATACAGTTCTTAAAGGATGAGATGAAGCTGAACAGATGTTGGCTGGTGTGGTGGCACATGCCTGTCATCTCAGCACTTGGGAAATTACAGCAGGGGGATCAATAGGAGTTTGAGGCACCCTGGGCTACACAGTTCAAGGTCAGCCTGAAATACACAGGCAGGCCTTGTCGCAAAAAAACCAAACTAAAACCCACCCCCACCCCATCCTCTCCACAAAAGGTGTTATGACAAACTTAGACTACTAAGAAAGGGTTCCCTGAACACAAGCACCAAGACACCATCAAGGTGGATCTGATAACCAAGATGGCTCCTAAGGACTGCTGTGGGGGGTGTGTACAGCGTGGATACAGCTGACAAAAGGATAATTCTCATCTTGGGTGTGATGGGGTGGGACAGCATGAGGGTTTTTTTTTTTTTAATGTATTTAGTACAGGGTTTACAGGGTCTCACTACACAGATTAGACTCCTAGCAATCTTCCTGTTTTCAGCCTCGCAAGAGTTGGGATTACAAGCCCGTGCCACCACGCCCAGTCTCAGTTGCCATCTCAGCACACGCTGGGTTGGGGCCAGGGACTGAACCCTGGTCCCTGTGCCTGCCTAAGCAGGTGCTTTAGTCTGCTGAGCTATCTGGGTGGCCCTAGCATGAGTATTTATCATGCTACTCAGAACAAAAGGCAATTAAAACTTATAATTTGCTTAACTTTTTTTCTTTTTCTTTTCCTTTTATTTTTTATTTTTATTTTTTGGCAGTACTGGGTATTGAACTGTGCTGAACTATAATCCTAGTTCTTTTTCTTTCTTTAAAAAAATTTTATTTATTTAGTGTGTGTGTGTGTGTATGTGTGTGGCCAGCTCAGCCCTCCAGGGGGCTGGCTGGCATGTGGTGCTGGGGGATTGAACCGCGGTCCCTGCACTTTGCTAAGTTTGTTCCAAGTAGGTGCTTCAGACCACTGAGCCATCTCACCAGCCCTCTTTTTATTTCTGAGATATAAAAGAACTATAATCCTAGTTCTTTTTATTTCATTGCTAAACTGCCTGGCTAAACTTAAATTTGCCATACTCCATCCAGCTCAGCTTCCACTGGTGCTAAGATTACATGACTGTACCACTACAACTAGTACACTGTTTATTTGTGGAACTTTTCATGTAATATTTTTGGTTTTGTTTATTTTGGAACTGGAGATCAAACTCAGGACCTTGTACTTGCCAGGCAGGAGCTTATGCCACTAAGCAATATCACTGGCCCTCCATTTAATATTTTTGGTCTATGATTGACTAAGAACTGAAACAATGGAAAGCAAAACCATAAATGTAAACTACTGTAAACTGCCTACTGTCATAAGTTAATGAGTTAAAGGATAAGTGAGAACTCAATAAACATTGGCCATTATTATTTTTGTGAAGTCTGAACTCATAAGGTCCCTCCATGACCTGACTCTTGCCTACCTTGCAAGTTTCATCTCCTAGGACTTTTCACTTATACCAATAAAACGAGGGTTTTTTTTTTTTTTTTTTTTTTTTGAGACAGGGTCTCGCTACATAGTTTAGGCTGGCCTTGAACTTACTATGTAGCTCAAGCTAGCCTTGAACTGTCAGTGATCCTCCTACTTCAGCTTTCTGAGTGTTGGGATTACAGGCATGTTCTAATTTGCTCAGCTTCCCCCTTCATACTCTTACCCTAATCCAGTAACTCTACTATGTGATATCTTCCATTACTATTCTGGGCTGTGTCTAGATGTCCCCCCAAAGTCTCATGTGGTCTAGGGTGTGTGATGATGGAATTAAGGACATGATGCTGAGATCAATGGTGGGATGCCAGTATTAAGGGCACCTGGGAACAGATGTGGTGGGCGCCCAGGTGATGACACCTGTAATCCTAGTACTCAGGAAGCTGAGGCAGGGGCATCATTTTGAATTCAAGACCAGCCTGGACTACAAAGACCAAAAAAAAAAAAAAAAAAAAGGTGCTCTACCCTAAGTGTAAGTGCTACTTGGCCTAAGGGTGTTTAGCCTGGAGAATACAAGGAAGAGAAAGGGCTGCTTCCATAGCTTGCTGCTTCAGGCTTCTTTGCTACTTCCCTGCTTTGCTGCCTTCTGCCCTCCAGTTTCTCCTCTGTGATGCCCCTTTGCAATGCCACCCTGCCTTGGACTCTGAACTGAAACCTCTACAAAACGGGAGCTATAGAATAAGGTTTTTCTCCTTTAATTTTGGGTGCCGGGTATTTTGTCTCAGCAACAAGAAAAGTAACTAAGATAATAATTGTTATATGTACCTTCTCTTATGAACTACCCATGTTCTGCTTTGTAAAACTACAGTATTTGATACATACCTTTAACTCTACACCATATTTTCTCTATTTCACCAAAAGAACCTTCCAGGCAGTAAAGAGACAGTGTTTTTTTTTTTTTTTTGTCTTTTTGATACAGGGTCTTACTATGCTGTTCAGGCTGGCTTTCAGCAGCAACAACCCTCCTACCCCAGCCTCCTGAGTGCTGGGGTTATGGGCATGCACCCACTATGCCCAGCAAGAGACACTGTAGTTATGATTATATCCATAGTGTCTAACATACTGACACATGAGTGATTTCAGAGGTGTGGTATAATGACAAGACAGGTTCTGGTTATGTAAGTGCAGAGCTGAAGCTGAAAGGAAGCGAAGGTTAGTAAAGAAGTTAAGAGTTGGTGATGTAGC